GCACTCCCGTGAGCCGAGACGGGGCACTCACCGTGTACAGCAGAGGTGTCGCTGGCGCACTCCGGCGGATGAGCGCCACCTGGCGCGACTTGACTCCTTGAAACCGGGCGTGGGTCAAACACGAGCCGGTGGCAAAAGCAGCAAAACCATACAAGACGTTGCAACGGCTTCTTGCCTCTTTCACTTCTGGTCGGGAAATCCCACTAACTTGCAAGTCTCTCTCTGTCCCGCTCACTCTCTCTCTGCCATTGCAGTTGCCCTGGTCTGTTTTTGCGGCTCGCAAAGCAGCTGGCCTGGTGCGCAATGTTCTCGGGCTCCAGGGACGCCAAAAGGTCAACTCGGAACTCCAGCACGTCCGATTCCATGGAGGCATCGCGCAGGAGCGTCGCAGCCTTCCGACTTCCAAGTGAGGAAACACCCCAGCACCACACGGGGCTTCTCTTCAGTGGGCGGGTTGCGTGTGGTTATACTTTCAAGCACAGAATGCGGACCAATCCCTCGCGTTCCTCGCCTGACTGTAGTCCTGCGCCGTCAGGGAGATAAAGAAGGAGTCGCTGACAATGGGCGGCACCACATCGCCCAAAGCTACACTCACCTCGCAGTGCCAAACGTTGGACCAGGAAGGACTGCAATGCTGGCCAAATTACTCTCCTGACTTGTTCTCAAATCCAAACCACAAAAAATGTTTGGAGCAAACTCTTCGGGCATCGGAGCCCGTTTTGGGCTACGTGCTATTTGCAGGGGAGTACCGTAGTACCTCACCATTCTTGGCGGGCCAATTTACAAGTACTGGGCTTGGTGGAAATGACTCTGCAGTTGCTTACCTTGGTCACCCTGAGACAGTGGAAGGCCAACGCGCAAGGGTTTGGCAAAATAGGTGCCAACCGCTTCATCGGAACTGGGGCGCTCCTGGGGCGTGTGCAGTTCCAGGACGGCTGTTGCCACCAAAATGGACACGTTGTCTACACACGGGATTCTTATCAACAAAATGGGCAAGTTATCAATTTATCAAGACAATTATGGCCACTGTATCAAAAAGAATGGACACGGTAGTTAATACATGACTTTGTATTAACAGAATGGACATTTTATCAACAAGCAAAGGCTCCAAGAAAGAACCCGGGGCCCTCGAAGATGGTTTCTACACTCATTCAAAAAAAAAAAAAAAAAAAAAAACAATCCTGCACGAGAGAGCTTAGGAAAGCAAGCTCTTTCCAGCAAACTTGCGTCTTGCGTCAGCAGACGTGGGCGTCCCCATATTTTTAACAGGGTCTTTCTTAAATCCGGGGTCAACATTAGCCGTTTCACAGGGCCGAAGTCACGAAGCGCGCAAACTGCAGCGTCAAGGAGGCCAAGTCGGCTTCCCTCCTCGCCACCGGGAAGCGGAAATTGGCCGCCTCTACCTTGGCATCCGAGAAATTGCCATGGGTCAAAACCCAAATCGTACCCCCAGTAGACATCCTAATCCAACCACTAAAATAGACTAAAATGGGTGGTGCACCTAACGCCAGAATGGTGCCCCACCATGTTGAAGCCTTACAGAAAACATCGGCTGAGCTTCGAAACATCGGCAATGCCCGCTGCAACAAATGTCACCAACTGGAAACCTTGCAAAGAGACAAACTGTTGGTCGACTAAGTCCCGAAAGGTGAAGAGCCCAGAAAGCAAGAGTTGTGAAGAGGCTTTCAGCCCAGTTGCGTACTTTGGCAGCCGCCGCTCGTAGGTGTCCTGCCGGCCGTTGTGCCTCTACCACACCAAAAAAAGGCATTCACACAGGGTCAAGAACGAGAAAAGCCTTCCCCTCCACAAAAAACAAGTTTGCACACAAAAAGCCAGAAATTGAAGGTCGCCTCTCAGGAAACCATGAAAGCAAGTGGCCGACGATCGAATCCTGAGGCGACTCGCCCAGCGACGCGCGGTGAACTTGGGCTGATGGATCGCCCCTCGAGGCAGTGTCTATTGCAGAATGCCAAGCGCCACAAAAGCAGTCTGCTAAACCGAAAAGTGTAGATGCGCGGCTGGTTGGCATGAACATCTGCAAGAACGATGGCATGCGGTTTTCATGAACTATGATATTGTGCTCTTGGAACACCGCCGGAGCAGCCACAGCCACATGCACAAAAAGCCTGGAACACAGCCACCCCTTACGATCCTTGAGGCTCTGGAAACACTCGCAGCCAAAGGCTTGCCAAGCTTCCCCAATGTGATGATGACATCATCGATGTGGCGATCGATGAAGATGACCTGAGCAGTGATGAGATCGATTTGCCCAAAAATGAGAAACAGCTGAATTGCCTTTGGCTGAAGCATTCGCCGCCTGTTGCATCCTACGGCTGCACGGACCTTCACAAACGTCCCGCAAACCTCCGAAAACGCCTCTTGAAGCTTCGAGGCGAAAGCCGGCCATTCATCCACTCAAGACACGCTCGGCCTTCACGACGCAACTGAAACGAGCGGCTGGGCTGTGGCTTCGCATCAGCTCCATGCCCCTGGTCGTTTCTATGATGCCTCCGCCGCAGGCGACCACCTTCGACTTCTTGGCAGCACTGGCTGCCTCGAAGCAGTCTGCCTCCAGTTTCCTGAACTCGTCCCAGCCTGGGCCGGTTGCGCGTCTTCGCGCAACACGCAACCACACCCCGCGGCTGGTCCTCCGCTTGAGCCGAAGCGCCCTTCTCCGCCACGATCTCCGGCGGCTTCTTCCCACCCGCGGCTTGCGTGATCGCCTCCACGCGGCAAACAGCCCCCCGCGTCCGTTTGGGTGCGGATTTGTTTCAGATGTTTTTTATTTATTTTTCGTGTTTCGTCCGGGCCAGGACAAAAAGTTGTACTTTACAGCATTTTCTCGCGAAGTTGGCGCGTTTTACACTAGCCCGTCAACATCCCCAGCATCGTTTTCAACATCCCCCGCGTGTCCGACCAACATCCCTAACATCGGCAACAAGTAGTTGGCGGGTTGACGGGGTCAAACAAATGATGATTCAAAGAAGAGGGCATTTCAGTCCCTGTAAAAAAAATAAATAAAAAGTAGCGGGGGTTGGAGGGGGCGGCAGCCCCCCCCCACGATGTTCGCAGAAGTGATGATTCGAATAGGGGTGCAATTGAATCTCTGCAAAAAGTCCAAAAAGAAGCGGGGGGGTTGGAAGTTGCGGCAGCCCCCCCATGTTGTTCGAAGAAGTGATGATTCAAATAGGGTGCAATTAAATCTCTGTGCAAAATCTAAAACGTAGAGGGGGGGGGGGGGGGTTCGGGGGGGCGGCAGCCCCCCCATGATGTTCGAATAAGTGATGATTCAAGTAGGGGTGCAATGATTCAAGAAAGGGTGCGATAGAATTTAAAAAGGCAGTGGGAGGGCTGGCGGGGGTGGCTTCCCCTATGATGTTCGAAGAAGTGCATACATATACAGACATACATGGATTACCTAACATGTCGTATTTTACAGCATTTTCTCGCGAAATTGGATGATCGAAAAAGTGCTGATAGGGGTGCAATTAAATCTCTGCAAGAAAACTAAAAAGTAGCGGGGGGGTTGGGGGGGAGGCGGCAGCCGCCCCCATGGTTGAAGAAGTGTTGATTCAAATGGGGGTGCAATTACTCTGCAAACAATCTAAAAAGTAGCGGGTGGGTTGTGGGGGAAAGCCCCCCATGATGTTCGAAGAAGTGATGATTCAAATAGGGAGGAACTGGCGATGCTGATGATGCGGGAAGCCAAATCCAAAAACCAATGCAAGTGTGCAAATCCAAAAAATACCGGAGAGGAACTGGGAAAGCAGAGGATGCGAAAAGCCAAAGCCGCCAAAATCCGCATAAACCAGCGCAAAGCCACAAAAGCCAAAACGCAACTGCCGAAGAGGAACTGGGAATGCAGAGGATGCGCGAAGCCAAAGCCAGAAAGCCACCAAAAGCCGCGTAAACCAACAAGAAGCCAAGAAGCCGACAAGCCAAGAATCCAAGAAGCCGAAAAGCCAAGAAGCCAAGAGGCCAAAAGCGACAAACAAATCCCAACAAAAAAAACACTTAAAAACAATACCCCTCCCGTGTGTTTTCAGAGTCGGGCTTGCTTCCCCACCGTGTCCACCCAAGCCTCGCTCCCACGCGCCTCGTCCAGGTCTTCAAAGTCGAAGCCCAGCAGCTGCGCCAAACCCTTGCCCAAAGTTGTCTTGCCCGCCTCAGGTTCGCGCACGTGGACTGGTCAAACTCACGGGAGGAGACAACGGGCAAAGGGGGGAGTTTCTTCACACCTGCGAGGCTGCCAGCGAACCCGCTGCCTGTTGCCAAGGGGCTCCGCGCATGCCGATCAACGCGACCTGACAAGCACTGCGTTCATCCCTTTGCGCTGCATCTCTTCAAAGGGCTTGTCCGCACCAGCTTCAATGTTGCAAATTGCGCTTGTTACACGGCTAGCACCACTGGTCTCAACGCAAAGGGCTCTCTCAAAAGCGGGCTGAGTCAAACCACGTCTGACAGGTCCAAGCCGGGCTACCACAGGAGAGCCAGCCATGCTCCCTGTGAGGCCGCGCTGGTTCCATGTGCGTGCCTACAAGTATTCTATGATGAGTCCGGCTGGCTGGTTGATGTATGCCTGGCATTCAATGTTAGAAAGTGTCATGCAGGCAATAAGATGATCTGTTCAGCTTGTTGGACGAAAGCCTTGTGGCCCACCCTACATTGCAAAGCTTTGTTCCAGAAGGGCCATGAAGCTTGAGCATCTATTCAGCTGCCAGTATCCCTGCGGCTGCCACGAAGGCCTCTTTTTCTATGGCGGGGTATGTAACGTGGAACTAGCAGGGGTCAGAAGTGGGTGTGGCTCAAGATTAAACAGGAGGGGTTACGCAGGTGTTGGTCCATGTTTCCACTTACCAGGGTTCCATTTTGGCACCGGTTTTTTTTGAGCCACAGCCAAGTGAACCTAATTGCAACAACAATTTGGAGTAATCCTGGGCTGCTTTTGACAAATGCCGGCCAATGACTCTCATTGCTCTCACCTCGGATGGGGGTCCGGCCAACCTGTCCAGCGCGAAAGTGGTTGGGATTGACACGGCCTCGGGATGCAGTTAGGGAACCCTGAAGGATTCCATGGCCTTGACCCTTAGTAAGACCTTTGGATAAAGGCTAACCTCATGTTATCCAGTGACGGACGTCCGGGCAAGTCTCAAGTCAAAGCTGCTGCAAAACTGGCTCGTGCAAACTTGGCGCGTGCCCCATTCTGTTCCAAAAGCGATGGATCGTTTAAAATACGTCTGTACCAAAGCTACAACAAAGCTACAAGCTGGCCCTGCAACGCTCTGCCAGAAGCTGGCAGAATGTTGAGGGCAAAATGTGAATGACACCGTGCACCACTGCACTCTGCGGGGCAAGGCCGGCCAGGCCGGAAAAAAGACATAACGCCGCAGCGCGCCTAGCCCACGATCGGCCGGGCCTGTACAAGATGGATTTCTCTGGAATCGCCCTCCAGCACGACACCCTCCATGTCCATGGGGACGCCATAACCTCCCAAGGTAGCAGCAAAAAGACGTAATCTAAGACGTTAAAACGACCAACCGTTTTTAACGCAGCCTTTCCCGCCTTTTTCGATGCCGGCAGCCACCTTGGCGATGTCTTGCGCCATCTTCACCAGGTAGTTCCGGTCTGTGCTGAGCCTCTCCTTGGCGTAGTCGATGGGCACGCGCTGCAGCCCCCCAGGCATGTCCTGCAGCCCGTAAGAGAAGCTACCCAGCGCAGCGACGTGCACCTTAGATCAGGACACTGTTACAAACTCCCAAAAGCCCCCCACATAATGACAGAGCACTCACAAAAGAGGCCTGGAAAGGGACAGATTGTTTGTTTGGGTTGGTTGGGGCACTACACTCTTTCTGTGGAAGAAACGTATTGCAATAGCCCGCCTCATAAGGCGCCGCCTTCTGCACCACCAGCCGGTACGGGGTGCCAGGCTCGTTCGCGGACGCCAAGGTCTCGCCCAAGCCCACGCAGAGCTCTATGTACACTGCCTGATACAGGACTCTTGTCAAAAAAAAAAAAAGTGCGGGGAAGGACTACATCGCCTTCCAAGCATGTACAAACAGCCAGGTTGAGAGCCGCCCGGGGCGCCATTCGTTGGAACATCTGGTGGGTCTCCGGCCTTGTCGTTCTTGGCCACGGCATCCTCCGAGAAGGCGATGAAGGCATAAGCGCGGCCAGCCAATGAGACCATGGGTTGCACCAGGACCCCCATAGCAATGCCATCGTACCTAGGGCCCTTGACCCCTGAAAACTCCATGGGTGGCTTCCCTCTGGCCCGTACCCCCCCCTAAATACCCCCTCCCCCTCCGCAAAAGGCGCACCTCATGGCCAGGCACGCGGCTACCCCAATGCCAATGCGTGATTTTTTTTCTAAAAGCGCCGCGAGAAATGGACAAAACGAGCTGAGGTGCAAAGGCATGCCCGCCGCATGGCGGCTTTGTACCGCTCGCAGGGTAAACATGCTGCCCCAGACCTGCACGATGGCGCTCTGCAGCTTGGACTTGTCCTATGGGACGCGGGTGTTCAAACCAAGCATGTTAAGAGGAAAAGGATTTCAATCCCACCACCAGCCCAAAAGTAGACACCGCACCAGCTAATGCTTCAGTGCCAACTATATTCCAAAGTGATCTCAGAGGACCGCTCTGCGCCTCCGCGCTGACCACTGCGCGGATCAACAAAAACTACGAGTTTCACCATGTCAAAAAAGAAACGACTTAGTTATTGACAAATTAGCAGTGCTCCATGGGTGTCCTTTTTGGGAAAATAGACGGCCCTGGTAGTTGATTGAACCACTTCAAGCAAATCAACCAAAAAGGACACCTATGGCAGTGCTTCTTTTCTCAAACAGTTTCCCAACCCCACGTCCTTGATCTCCACCCCCAGGACTGAGTCGTGCAGCCCGGCGCCCGACACCTTCTCTAGGTCCTCGCTGTTTGCGGAGGATCGCACCGCCACCCGCTCCGCCTCAAACGCTCCAAAGTCGACCGGCGAAAAACTGGCCAATCATATGAACATTGTATCTAAATCGCACAACAAATAAAATTGGGCTTCCCTTGACTTAGCCTACAGAGTGGGTCACAAAAACAAAGGATCTTGATTGAAACCGAAACACGCCGCGTTTGCCGGTCTTTTGCTCGCATAAGCGTCAACGCAGGATGCATCCGGATGACCATGCTAATCAAGGGTAGGTGCCCGTGTCGTGGGGAATAAACACACGTTGGCTGTTCCACTGCTCTAAACGCCGGGCGTTATGCTAAACTAGAGATGCTTGCCAGTTGCGAGCATTCCCGTGTCAAGCCACGATGAGGGAAAGACAGAAGACGGTCATTGAGCAAAGGGAGCGAACCCTCCGTTCACGAGATTCCGCTTCAAACACCACAAAGTTGCGCGATTTGTGGATGCTTGAAGCGAATCGATTTCGTTTGGCTCAAAATCAGCGGCCTTCCCAAAAGGTTGGTTTCCTTTTGGTTCCCTTTCAAAACACCCAAAAACAATCCCTCCCCCCCCCCCCCCCCACCACAAACAAACAAACATCACCCAGATTGGTTCCCCTGAGCCGTTCCCCTGAACGCGCCGGCCTTGGGCAAGCCGGCAGCCAGCGCGTCCACCACCGCCGCCGGCACCGCCAGCTTCTCCACCGTTGCGCGCACCGCCTGCGCTGCCGCGTCCACGTCCGAGCCGCCTTTGAGGGCCTGTGGGACGTGTTCAAAGGACATGGCTATACCCGCTATGGCACGAGGGGTTCAATTGAGGGGCGCCCCCCCAATTATGATTTTTTAAGTAGGGAGTACCTATAAGCCACTGTTGTTCAAACTCAGATTTAAGCGGTGCCAGGGGGTGGTTGTTAAAACCTGTGCTCCACCCAGGCCTTGTCCAAGGCGGCCACCGCGGAGTCGAAGTCTGAGCCCTTCACCACGGCCTCAAGCAAGGGCGGGTTGAAAAACCTCCGCTTTTCCGCAATGTGCCTAGGTCCCACGTGCTACCGCAGCGGACATGAGGCGTTTAAAAAATTTTGGCGCGGTCGCCGTGGCGATGCCAAACCAAACCAAGTGCGTGGCACGAACCCCCCTGCAGCGGGACCCTCCTCTCATCAAACCCTCATCCCAAACACAACCCAAGGGGTCGCCCGAAGTCGGTCCCGCCACCGGCCGGCCCGAGCTTCGGCCCTGCAGCCCGCCTTCATGACCCCGAAGGGGATCGCCAGGCCCTTGGGCGCCTTAAAGCCCAGCTGCTGCGCCAGCTTCTCCAGCTTGCCGCTGGAGGCGGCCTTGCTGCCGGCCACCTGGGGCTTGTCTGCGATGGACACCTCGGAACATCGGATCGGCTTGGAACACTTCCGAGCTGCGCTTATTTGGGTCGGACGTGTTTCTGCGATGTTGGCAGGGCTGAGTGTCCCTGGCCGTCCTTTTGCCCAGGTTGATGTTTGCCCAGGCTGTACATGACAGCAGTACACGGCCGCAGCCCCGGTCTGCGATTTAGACCGCCCAAAAGGCAAAGGCAACTGGAACCGTGCAGGAGACATACCATAAGCACACCCAAGGCCCTGAGGCCTTGAACACCATGAGGCCCTGGCCGCCTCCAGGACCTTGTTGTCCGCCAAGCTGAGCTCCCCCAGCTTTGGCTTCACCGCGGTGCCCGAGGCCTCCTGCGAGTCCCGATTCGGGTGCGGAAAATGGCCAAGCCGCTCCATGGAAACTGCGACGCTGGCTGTCAAAGGGGATGTTGTAGCCCCGCCAAAAAAGACGTTACAAAATTGGTTGGTTGCCCTCTTGCCCCCCCCCCCCTGGCACAGCAGCCAACAAAGCAGTGTTTGTTGTAGTTGGGCGCCTCCCTCAATATGCCGCGTGTCCTTTTCCAGTCATCAGTCATGAGTATGGAAGAGGATCAGTTGAACTGTTTGCTGGAATCTCCGGTTCCATCCCTCAGCCCATGGTTTTGTTCCCGGCCTTCTTCGATCCCTTGGCCTGGGCTTGAAGCTCCTGGTCACTCACCACCTCGGCCCGGACGCCGCCCGCCGCCTCCACCACCAGCCTCACCGGCTGGTTCTCCTTCACACCGGCCTTGAGCTTTTGGTACCTCACCAGGCCGGACTTAGACGGCAGAAACTAGCGCGTTTGTCAGCAAAAGCATGAAAGGCGATGAACAGACTTAGACATGTTCAGCAGGCATCTTCAAAAACATGGACAAATAGTTGGGACCAAACGACTCAGGACATGGGTGAAGACCAAGACTCTTCCCAAAAATGCACTTTGCTTTATGGGTGTTTCTCATAATTTTGGACCCCCTTGGGTACGGTTTCAAAAAGAAAGCTGCAGGAAACCAACCTCCTGGAGGGGTTGACAAAGACTGGCACGCTGAAGCCATGGCACAGCTGATCCTCCGCCGTGCAGGCAAAGACCACTCCCAACTGCCTTCCGCGGGCGGAAGAAAAAGCGGGAACCCTGCAAGACTGCCACTATCATTCCGAGCCCTTCTTGGGGTAGGGCAATAAAAATGAGGGCCCTTTCGCCTTGCCAGCCCTCCTGAAAATCTGCACGAAATATCAAAAAGCCTTTGCGGTAGGATCTGGAGTTGCACCGCTTGCTTTTGCATCCCGTGTCGATCTTCACGGGAGTGAACTTAACCCTGATACTTCCCCCCCGGATGATTTTGACCAGCCCCCCCACACACGCATCCATTCTAGGGGCACCCATCCCGCACAGCCAGCCGAAAATCCCCGGCGCCTGGCACGCAGCGCCAGGTGGCTCAGCACCGGCAGGTCCCTCGCCACTATGAGGCCCTTCACCAGCTGCGGCACCTCCTCGTCCCCGGAGGCCTCGTTGCAGAAGACCACCGCCCCCTCCGCGGGCAAGGCCTTCTGCCAGGCCGCCGCCAAGGTGGGCAGGAAGACCTCCAGCTGACCCCCGCCCCCCCCGTCCCGAAAGCCAAGCAGAAGGAGAGTCACCGTGGCGGGGAAGAATGGGCCGGTGGGCTTCAAGATCTGGCAACCCCAAGCCTGTGGCTGTGGGAAGGAGAAACACCCATCAGAAACAACCACAGACAA